CAGAACATTGTAAGTGAAATTGAATGGAATAAAGCACTGAAGGGGAGAGACTGTCAGGAGCAATTTTTTAAAACTAGAAAAATAGACTACTTAAAATAAGATCTTGAAGCTAGAACATAAGGTAGTTATTTAATTTTTGGCTTACAGTATCAAACTTGTCATTACCCTTTTAGGAAAAGTCTAAGAAAATTGTTGAGTACATGAAGATAGCAAAAGTAATTTTATTTGATAGAAGAGGTTGGCATTGGTAAACAGATACATTAATTCAATGCTTCATTAGCCCCAGAAAAGAATGATTGGATTTCGGCCAAAATAGAAGAAAATTCTACAAGGAAAGGGAACTGATCACATCCAGATGAATTAGACCTATTGTCTAAAAAAAATGGGAACTTGTCAATTGCAATAAATTATCATTTAAGATATTGGTGAGCCTTCTAGGAGACGTTTTTGTATATGGCAATGCAAACATAATCACACTAGCCACTAGATTCAGCAATGGATGTCTGTCTCACAAGTGACAGCTTATACGTGTGGTGAGATGCACTCTGCCCTGTGGTGCATCCAGAAGAAATGAAAGAGAATGAGAAAGGAGATAAAGTCAGTGGATTGTCCAGGTTTAGAGGGAGGCTTTGCCTGTTCTCCCACAGGAGGGCTGTTTTCCAGAGAACAGATCTGCTGAGAACAGAGAAGCTTATGGTGGGCAGAAATTGCACCCTACCACAAGGTTTGGATGAAAAAAGGGGATCCTGGGCAATGTGTCAGCCTGCCTTTGAGGCACTGAGCAATAGTGGTGCAGAGTGTAAGGAAGGGAAGCTAGACATGCAAAAAGAAGAGAGATGGAGACAATTCCTGAGAAGTTATAAGCCAGCATAGAGCCAGCTACTTGAGACAGTAACAAATTCAACCTAATTTTCAAAAGAAGCAACAAAAGAGTGGATCAGCTTTTGATAAAGCACAGCAGGGAAAGCATATAAGTCATCTGCAATCGATAATTTTGCCATAAGGCTAAGCTACTTCCGTGATAAAGAGCTGGCTTTGATGTCAAAAGGAGCAGGTGCCTGTGGGAGGTCAAAGTTTGAAATGAGATTACTCACAAGGATCAGAAAGATAATCAAATCTGCCCACTTCTGTGGCAGTGACATATCAGTACAAAAGACTCAAGTTCTAAATAGCCACAGTTAGGACTGAAAAAGGATAACTGCAAAATCCTGATGAGAGGACAAAAGGGAAGAATGGTTTCTGAGGGCAACTCATTTCCGACTGACTTGAAAGGACCAAGCTCACTGGTCTGTTAAATGGCTTTTGCTGTTCAGTCGAGAGGTAACTGGAAGCAAGGACAGTCAGACCCAAATACACAAAGAAGCACCAGCATTGCAGAGTTAGGAAGACTTGCAGTTTTAGGAGTGGAGTACACAGAGCCCAAAAGCACCCATGGCTGTGGACACCGTGACTGGGAGGAGGCCAAAGCTAGTCAGAAGTGAATATTCAGAAAGGAGAATGGTTTCTTAAATCCTACTTTTCTCATAAAATTACCCACATCCCAGAATTAAGCACTTATGTAACACAAAAGGATCCTTCTACTCTGTGAAACTAACTCATCCCTTTGTGGTGGTTCACCAGCTCCTTTCCTCTCTTCAGAGACCCAGATAGAGAAAGAGCTGTGCATCTTCTACAAAGCACCTGCTTGGCAAGTGTGACAGCTGAGTCTGAGTTTAAAACTGCATATCCTGCACTCTTAAGTGTGTTCTGGTCTTTCACAGGGGTGAAATTAATGTAGGGTTACTGGAGCCAGAAAAGAGGGTAAAGAAAGAAGTATTCTGATTTGTGCTCCTGGGGAGCACAATCCTGAAGTCTTTGGCAGAACAGACCAAGCACCTTCACCAAAAAGCATGGCTCAGTTTCACCACACTGAAGTCCTTTATAAATCTTGACATTTAGATATCTGTCTCCAGAGGTACTGCTTCACTATACAGCCAGCTTAGTGCCGTGCTGAATTCAGAGATGTAACACAAATCATTCTTTGCTCAAATCCTCTGGCACTGGTGAGCAAAGGAACTCAAGGGCTTATAGCAAGGTCCTGAGGAGTAGCTGCCTCACAGCCTCTGGTGTGCAGCCAGCATGTGGCATCCAGCCTGTAACTCTCCAGGTCAGATCCCTCAACCAGTCTCCTTGTTTTTGGCTGTTCTAGTAAGCTGAACCAGGCCAGGTACAGCTGAGGCATTGCTGGCACATCAGCAGCAGTGCTGTGGCAGGACTCTTGCTGGCCCTGGTCAGCTCTCACAGGCAATATCTGGACATAGCTGAAGGGATAGCACAGGCCTAGGACTGTCCCTAAAAAGCAGTATGGGGAGCTCACCTCATTTTTGAGGGAGGAGGAGGAGATGAGGGGAAAGGAATATGTACTTGCACTGTGTCTTGCCATTTGCTTAATCTACTGGTATAAAAGTATCACCTGTGTTCATGAAAGGCTTGGGATGATCACTGAAGCTGTGGCTGAGCACAAGACTCATGCACACAGGGGTGATTTCAGAGGAGGTGTAGAGCTGAATATGCCACAGCACTGGGACAGGGTTTGCCCCATTCTTATTCTGAGATGCCTGTAAGTGGGCCAATACCCTTTCTACCCTTTCATGGCATCCCAAGGCAAGAAAAAATTATCTGGGGGAGTCTGGCTGGGCAAGTACCCTGATCGGCCTACTCAAATGTAACAGGAAGATAAAGTTCAGGATAAGAGCATCCCAGCTGTCTTTGGTAGCCCAGAATGGTCTGTTTGTAACTTGACAGCTGCCATGAAGCCTGAGAACATCAATAAAAGCCGTATTTCCTTCACCTTTGTGTATCTTTTTTCGGTTTTGTAACCATGTCTGTTTTTTCAAAGACAGGAAAAGAAACTATCATTCACAGCTCATACCTGAACAACAGAACTAACTCTTTCATCCTGATGAAGAAAGATTACTAGACAGAATCAGAGAGTGTATCCAAAATCCTGTCTCTGAAAAAAGCGTTTTGATACACTTTGATTATTCTTTTTCCTTGGTGCAGAAACTCTATTTTAGTTTCAGAAGACTCTTTATTTTGTTTTGATTCTTTTCCCTTTGTGTATCTGAGTCAATAAATGTCCAGACTTGGGCACGGATTTCTCACTTTGTCATGGCAACTGAGTAGTCCTTATTCTTTATAACAGACCCTGAGCCTTGCTTCATTATTTGATGTCACCTAGCAATATAAATACCTTAATTTGGGCTTAATTATTATGTGAAAATTAATACAATATAGTTTTAGCAACAATTGTACATAAAGAATCATCAACAACATTAGATTTGATACAACTGTAGCTTTGATATCCCCTTGTTTCAGCAGAACTGACTTCCAATGAAAAAAAAATATATGTATCCCTTTATCATCTTTATTTTTATGTTTATGTATAAGGAATATGCCTAACAAAATATTGGTTTAAATTTTAAAAATTCAGTTGATGTCAGGTATTTGCTTTGAATGTCTCATCTATATTTTGAAATTTTCATGAGAAATGTATATGTTGCAGGATATATTTTCCTCATGCTGCTACAGGGAGTAAGTGGCTCTAGTATTATCCCTGTCTTCTGAAGGAGTTTATGCCAGTAAGCCAGGCCTGTGGATCAGTTATAAGTTCAGCAGCTACAACCATACTGTTTTCTGTCCCACTGCTGAATGCCTCTGTGGAGTTTCCCAGGCAGCAAGTCAAGGCTGTGTACTCCTGTGTGGTCCCTGTTACAGCCTGCCCCCATTCTCCTCATGTCTTCTGCATAAGCACAGCTGTAACCCTGCCTTTGAAGACTTCTCTTCTCAGCTAGTGCACACTTTGTTCTCTAAAACCTTATCCAATTTGTAAGAAATCTACTTCCAGCAAATGATCTCATAGTACAATTTTGCCCCAGTTTTATAAGTCCTTCTGTAACCTTTCTAGATGCCTTCAGTGCTTTCAGTGTTTGTATCTTCCTCACCGAGATTTTCTGCTACCTTGATTCTTTGTGCTTGGCACACATGCAGATATCTATTTAAAACTTCATTTTTAGCACAGGGATCTAGCCATCTGATTCCTATTAACAGTAATGGGAACTGCATGGCTAAGTTAATTACCATGTACTGTGCTGAACATTTAGCACTTAGTATCTTCCCTTTGTTTTCTCTTTAAGGTGTTTTCTAGCCTTTCTGAAATTTATGCAGTGATCTGGAGTAGTGGAGCTGGATTTGGGTCACTAAAAATCCTAATTATATTATGTGCATTTGTTGCTGTGTTCAGTGACAGAAGTGAAAAACCTTTCCTGGTATTGCATGGCTTCAGCAATTGACATTTTGATGCTGTTGCAGATTCATTCACAAAGAAACAAAAGAACAGAGAGAATTGAACCGAGGGTATCAGCACAGGACTCTCACTGAGAGAACCATGACATCTCAAGTTCAAGTGCCCATTAAGTACCTAACTGAGAATACAAATGAGCCTGAGCTCAACTCTGATATAGATGACACAAACAATTTCCTTCTGTCTGCTACTGTTTCTCTCACTGACAAGTGCAAATAAAGGTGGGAAGGAGCGAATTCAAGAGGGTAAAGCCAAGTTTAGCAGTGATAGGAATAGCTGGCACAGGCCACAGACATTTGGGAAGATCAATACCACAGCACTAGTTAAACTGTGTGTGGTCTTGACATCTCAACACATGCATTTTTGCTTGGGGAGGTGGTACTTTTTTGCCGAAAGGGTTTTTGTCTTTTTTGTATCACAGAGGCATTGTCCTTTCCATTTAGATAAGGACCTACTTAGTATGACCTATATTTTCATTTTTTCACTGTAAAGAGAGAACACAATTTCTGTCAGAGCAGACAAAGGAGGCAAAGAAAAAATATGCCACAACCTCTGTTTAATTTCAAAACCAAGAAATTTTTCTATTTTTCTTTGCAAACTATTTTTACAAAGTAAAAAATGGACATAAAAGTAAAGATTCTTATCATCTTTGTAAGAAATTATTTTATTTTATTAGCTCTGGTTCAAAGCTTCCCAGACATGTAGGCAAAACTGTATGATGGTAAGACAACCTAATTAAAATGAAGAGCTGTGAGTAAAATACTAGGTGGGTGAAGAGAGGGGGTAAAAACTCCTTCTGTCTCAGTGAAGCAGCTGACACCTTCCTCAGCAGGAGCAGCAGCAATGAGAAGAGAGGGCTGTATGGATCAAACGTAAGTATTATCTTTTCTTTATGTGCAGTTCAAACAGCTTGCCCTTGGATTTTACATGCAAAACAGGCAATCTCTTACTCTGGCTTCTCTTACATGTTCTGTTGTCTGTGCCTAAATGTGGATTTTCTGAAGTTCAGCACCAAAAAGAATACCTGGCAGCACAGTTATTCACCTCCCCTAGATACATTTGTCTCCCAAACATATTTGCGTGTCTATTGACCAAGAAATATAGAAATAATATAAAACAATCTCAGTTTTTGCTGAGATTAATATTCTGCTAATATTAGCTTCAAACTAGCTTCTAACAGCATTACAACTTACCTGTTTCTGTTAAACTTCAGAATTGTCTAAACAAGACACACACAAAAAAGGTTGTAAAGGCCCTAATAATAATTACATTTAAAATAGTTATTGTCAGCACAACTGATAATTTCACACAGGAGACCTCTGCAGTCCTGCACTTTAAAAGTGTTACGAATAGTGAGAAGCATTAAAAGCGGTTCAATGAAAGATCTTGGGTTTGGAAAACATATTTCATACTGCGAAATTTAAGAAGATTCATCTACTTATTTTGCTGAAAAGGAGGCTAAGGGATGGTTTGATCTTGGTCTGTGAGTACCTACCTGAGGAACAGATTTCTCGTATCCAGTTCTTTAATCTATCAGTAAAAAAAACATAATGAGATTCAGCAGTTGGAAGCTGAGGCAAGACAAATTTAGATTTGAAGCACGGAACTGATTTTTAACACTGATGGTAGTTAAACATAGACATAACTTACCTAGGAGTGTGATTGATTCTCCACCATGTGGACCCTTTATTTTAGGACTGAGTGTCCCTCTGAAACATATACCGCAGTTCAAACAGAAATTTCTGAGAGGTTTCTGTGGTGATGTCCTGCTGAAAGTAAAACATAATAATCTTTTGGCTTTCTGGTATCTTTCCAACTTAAAATTTATGTTAAAACTTTTTTAATGAGTGTAAAAATATGAACTGAGTATTAGCTGCTCCTAACAACTACCTGAGACCTCAGAAAATATAAAACTTTAGATCTGAAATGGAAACAGCATATTTTTAAAGGAGTGATGATTCACATGTTCATAACTGAGGAAATGTCAGCTCTTCGCTCCCTACCAAAACAAGAAAAAAAAATAACAAGAGTATTCATATATTAAATCTTTAAAATCTGGCTCAAGCAGTGGGTCATTAAGGTCCCATCCAAGTACAGGTTTGGGAACTCAGTGCCAACCCTACACAAATGGGGATAAAAATCCTCTCAGTATGGCTTATAGACCAGACTCCTGAAATTCTAGTTCTAACACCTAGATCACACCAGTTTGGGGGTTTTTATTTGTTAGTTTGGTTGGTTGCTTTTCTTTCTTCCAGCCACCTGGCCTGTTGGTTATGTGTTTCCTTTTGAATCCCTGTGTCTTTGACAGCCAGGCCAGATATTCACTTATGCTGAACTGATGTGAGGATGAAGTGCTCTTTGACAGAAGCCTGGACAAGTGCTTGACATGGTCAAAAATTCAATGCCAAAAAGCATTATTTGTTTAATCATAGAGTCATAGGATGGCTTGAGTTGCAAAGGATCTTAAAGATCCTAGTTCCAACCCTTATGCCACAGCCAGGGACATTTTCAACTAGATCAAGCTGCTCAGGGATGCATCCAACCTGACCTTGAACTGTCCCAGGGATGAGACATCCACAACTTCACTGGGAAACCTGTTCCAGAGTTTCATCATCATCTGAGTAAGGTATTTCTTGGCATCTAATCTGAATCTCCTCTTTTAGTTCAAAACCATTCTCCCTTATTCTATCCCTATCTCCCTATTTAAAAAGTTGCTTCCCTTCTTTTCTAAAAGCCCCCTTTAGGTACTGGAAGGTGCTGTAAGATCTCCCATGGGTCTTCTCCATGCTGAACAATCCCTACTCTCAGCCTTTTTTCATGGGAGAGGTGCTCCAGCCTGGTGATCAACTTTGTGACCCTCCTCTGGACTCACTGCAACAGGTTCATGATCTTCCTACGTTGGGATCCCAGAGCTGGATGCAACACTCCAGGTGGAGTCTCACAAGAGCAGAGGAGAGGGGAAGAATCACCTCTCTCAACCTGCTGGCTACGTTTGTTGTGGTGCAACCCAGGATGGAATTGTCTCTTTGGGCTATAAGTACACATTGTTGGCTCATGTCCATGAGAACCCCCAAGTCCTTCTCTGCAGGGCTGCTCTCTGTGAGCTCGTCTCCCAGTCTATGCTCGTGTCTGGGATTGCCCCTACTCAATACAGCACTGTGCACTTGGACCTGTGTCTTCTCACATTTCTACATGTTCCCTTGGACAGCATCCCTTCCTTGTGTTGCGTCATCTGCACCACTCAGCTTCGTGTCATCTGCAAACTTGCTGAGGGTGCTGTTGATCTCATTGTCTATGTCACTGATAAAGACACTGAAGAACCCCAGTCCCAAGACAGGGAACCTGAGCAACACCAGCCATCACTGGACTCCACCTGGATACAGAGCTGTTAAAACACAACTTTTTGGCTATGATCATCCAGCCAATTCCTTATGCACAGAATAGTCCACCCTTCAAATCCATGGTCCTTCTTAAATCATCACACCCATCTATGTCTAATGTCTTTTAAAGTTACCTAGTCCCTGACTTTTTCTGGACTAATGCAAGTTAGTTGTGAACAACCTTCATTTTTATTTGGCAGCTTTAGATCTCCCAGAGGGTTTTCTCTTCCTAGGGGAACCTATGTAAATAGCTTAAAGAACCTTGATAAGTCTGCTTGCTTTGAAATTAAACCAAGTAAACTTGTGAATCTCTCTGAAGGACTTGGCTTCTTTGGGGTAAGAAAATGACACAGGGGTTATACCTTTAAAACAGACTCAGTGATATTGTTAGAAGCCTTAGTTTTGAATGGAAGTGTCATACTGTACAAGTTAGTTGCAAATGTTAAAAGATTTTGTTCATCATTGGTCCAATTTTTGTCAAATCACTTGGACTTCCTATTCACCTTGCCATTGCTTTCTGCAAGCAGTAATGGAACTCTCTCCCATAAAGCACAATGGGATCTCTTGGCATGTAATTTAATCTGTGCCATGTTAAACGTGGAGGGAAAAGGCAGTTACACCTGGAGACAGATTTTTCTTCAGTTTAACTTTTATGCAGGGTGGAAACATTAGGGTGAATAAAGCAAAGAAAGAAAGGAAATGGAGAAGAGACGGTAAAGAGAGGTGACAGAAGGTAAAGGTAATTTGCAATTTGTATTTTATGGATGTAGTTAAAAGAAAATATTGTGGAAACACAAAACGTGTTTAGTATGAACTGAGCCTGTGTTTGGGTGATAGCTGAGAGATAAATATAATGTGGAATTTGGCACGGATACACAGACGCCTGAGCAGCTTCTGGAATCACTTTTCTTTCAGCAGCCATCCCATACATCACAAGAGAGCTGTTTTAGGGGCATAAATAAACGTGACTCATAAATTTATCTGTGTTAACCTAAGAAGTTGTACTAAACTAAATAAAATAAGGACAGAAACCTGTTAAACACAGACTGCAGAAGTATTACACAAGAAATGAAATATGGTTCATGTCCCCAGCTGAAAGAGCACTCCTGACTTACCTTCACAGGTTATTTGGGAGCAGGTTATGAGAGCTTAGAGTAGGCATCTGGTAAACAGGTATAAATCACTGCAAAACTAAGTTGTATAGCTGTATTTCTTGGTTGAAACAAACAACCAAAACACATTTCCATTATATTTTCCCTTGTCTCCCTTATCTGGTTTAGTTTCTCTGTTTTTTAGAGGAGGCAGAACCTAGAGCATTGATCAGGGTTGTGGGAAAGTTCAGCTTCAGACTTGGACTGTGTCTAGCTCTACAGACTTAGGTACGTTGTTTTGTTTCTCTTTTCCTCTATTGTCACTTAGCCCCTGTCTTTACACATTTTATTATTACAATCCACTAGATAAATTGTGCCTACTGCAACTGGAAGTGGGACCAAAAGTTAAGAATCACAGAGTCTTGTTGTTGGGTGATGGGAGAGCTGCAATACATAAATAGGCTGAGTTCTGTGGGTATGATCCAGTACGAGAAGAGGCCAAGGGAAAAGGGAAGGCTGTGCTCCATCTCAGAAGTTTCATCACAGCTCGGGGAGCAGGTTGTGAACTGCTTTAGATGACAGAGATGGTCAGTTATAGAAGATGAAGGTCACAGGTCACTGTGGTGGTCATTCAGATGTGATGGTCTTGCAGAAGCTCAGTGCTTGGCCAGGACTGAGGGCTGCAGCAGGAGGCAGAGTGTTTTGCTTTGCTCCCACCCACTGTGCCCTGCTCATTCCTGCAAGTGAAAGAGCCTGCATTCCCGAGGGTGTGGAATGGTTCTATCTCTTGCTTGCATGAGATAATTGAAGGCCTTTCCCTGATAATTCCCTGACAATTCCCTGACCTGCTCTGTTGTGCTTTGCATTGAATTTGAGTTTAAGCAAGATATGCTCAATCTATCAGTGTGTGCTCAATTGTGTGTGTGAAACTGCTTAGACAATTGTCCAGGGAATTTTTTAAAATTTTTTTTGGGGGGGGGTGTGTGTGTGTGTCTAGACATTACTACTTGAACGCATTTTAGGTACCTAGGGTCATTGTTTCTCCTACAGAAATCTACTCTTGGAGACATGATTTCTTGGAAATTTCATTCCTTGATCTTTGAGGAGATTCCCTTCATTTACTGGAGCTTTATAGATGTCTTAATCTTTAACTTTAGCTCAAGCCAGCATTTTAAATGTGCAGAAGCTTAAAATGATTTGTACATCCATCCATGCAACCATGACGAAGAGTTCCGTGTCTTCATGGAAGAATTATATTGAGATCTGCTTTGTAACAGGCTGGTGACTTTTGCATCAGCCCTGTACAGCCTCTGCTTCTGCCTCTGCCTAACTGTGAAAAAGAAAGTAAGTCTGAAAACATCTATTGGTTCTACTGAAAATTTGACTTGAACAACAACTGTCTACTTTGGCCCAGGAGGAAAAAAAAAGGAACTCGCCCTTGAATATTTTACAATTTTCAGGGAGAAATGTTGGGTTTTTTTGTATTTTCTTTGAAATAATACCAAAGCATAATTAATTTTTTATTAATCTGATACTTGGAGTATATGATTTTGTCTTTTTACCTTTAACTCTTACTGTGATTATATTTATTATTATTGTTTTTGCCTGGTTATTATTTTGACTATTTACTATTATTTTGCCTATTCCACTCAGAATCCTTTCTAACGGCAGTGTTTTCATAATGCATAAATCAATGTACCCTGCAGCATATTTCAGGATCTTCTGCACTATGCCTCATTTAAATTACCAACAAAAGTCTTTTGCAGGTATTTCAATCAAAAAGCCCTGGTCATCAGAAGAAGAGAGTAGCAGTATCACTAATCATCTTCTGACCACCTTTTTTTAGTAATTTGTGATGATAAGGGATTGAAAATGAAATTAAAATTCTTTTGTAATTTCATTATCTTGGAAGTGATTTTATAGCCTACTGAGAATTAAATGTTGAAGTACAGCACAATGTACAAAATAATTCCTCTTTTAATACATTTTTATGGTACTCAGATGAGCAGAAGCACAGCTCAGGTCAGAATAGGCCTGTGTATTACTCAGCTTTACAGGTCTTTAATTCAAAATTAAAATTAAACAATACTCTTTTTACCAGAGTAGTTCATCCAAAACCAGCTAAGACAATAATTTTTCATTTTGAAGGGCTCTAACTCAAACCCTTTCAAGGTGGTTTTTAAAATTGTTTAATCCCAAAATTGAAACCCCTGAATCCTCTGTAATAAAAGATGTGGAGCCCCTCTGCATTAATTGCATTGCCTGCCCATTACAGCTAACATACACCAGCTAAGAAACTATGATGTTGCATTTAAAAGCATAATGCCTGAAATAAAATTCACATGTTATCCAAACCTAATGAATTTTTCAGGAAGTTCTGCTAGACTTTCAGGTACCTCTATAAATAAAACATTAGCGTTTTAGGATTATTTTGATAATTCCACTAGTAAATCCTAATGAATAGTAGAAACTGCATGTTTTGTTAACCAAGTTTCTGACCTCTGCAGCAGATGTTAGATCACACAGCAGCAGACTTGATGCTGGGATCACTACAGATGGTAAGAAACCAGTTAGAAAGGGACAGTTCAGCTGACACACGAGAAGCAATGAGCTGCCTAACTTATTTTACAGGATTTTCTCCCAAGGTCTGTAATGAATCCAGAAAAGAAATAAGATGGGTTCTTTCTCTATTTAATCCATGAGCTTGCCTATGACTTCATTCTCATCAGCTCACCTCAGCTCCCTGTAGCCCCTTGCCAGTGGCAGAGCAGAAATCCCTGTGCCTGTGATAGTTTTGCCTCTGATTCCTCCAGCATCATGACCCTCCAGTGCCCTCTGGAACACTCTCTTAGCTTCTCTGCCCTTGTGCTACAGCCTGTGGCAGCAACAGGTTTAGGAAGGTCAAGGTTTAGGAGCCAGCTGGAATATGATGCACACGGGCAGAGGCACCTAAGAAATAGTTGCTGACTGATTATGCTCTGCATTCTCAAATTGAGGAAACCACAGAGAGAGCCATATCTAATGTCCTGTCTCCTTAGTGTGTGCTGAACACAGCAGAAAATTCAACTTGCTTGCTGCATGCTCATTCCTTTGCCATTCTGTGATTTTTTCCTTTGCCATTCTGTGATTTTTCCCTCTTCTGTTTTTGTTTGTTTGCTTGTTTTGGATATTCCTTTTAACTCATTTGAAATGAATAAAGGACACCATTCTTTTGAAACAAACGAAGATCTCCCATGACCCACAACATTTGCATTCTCTGCTGAATCCAGCATTTTTAGTGTCAGCCCCATCAGCAGTATCAGCTGCCTTTGAAGTCTTTGAAGTCTCCATAGCTCAGGCTAAATGCATTCAAAAGGGAAAAAGTAGCAGGTTGGCAGAGGTAACGGGGAGAAGGTTTTTTCCTTTACCTACAGCCACTCTTTACATTATGAATGGTAGAATTAGAACACTTAAAAAAATAAAGCAACCCATTGATTTTTCCTTCAAAAGAAGCTTCTGCCTAAGCCAGGGCTATTTGAAAGCCTTCTTAGTGTGACTTGATGAGTTGGAACCACAAGTGTCCATTTTAGGGGGTAAAGAGGAAAGAGAAGGGA